AATATTTTACTTAGAAAATATATAGCTAAAATTAATATATAAGTTTTTATTAAAAAAATTAAACTTTTTAATAAAAAACACAGGCAAATTTGCCTGTGTTACAATTTAAGGGATATAATTCTATTCTAACTAGTATTATATTGAAAGAAGATATCGTCAACTGACCAATCTTCATTAGTACTAATAGTAGGTTATTGAGAATTAGCAACTGAATAGTCTTCAATTATATTCTCTTGATTTCGTTCAAGCATTCCAATATTAAAAAATTGTTCTATTGCTAGTTCATTTTCCATTTCAATGTTTATTGCCTCAATGTTAATTTGTAAAAATTCTTCATTAAATTCTTCCTCAAAGAGGTCAATATTGGCACCTTCGCTATTTGTAGAATCTTCAAATAGATTCTGATCATTTGCTTTGGGTTTTTTTTTTGGCATTTTAGGTAGTCTCTGTTGAAGATCATGGTGAAGTATCCCAAGTATTCCCATCAAAGCAGGAAACATCCTGTTTCGTAATTTTGTCTTGATTAATCCCAAACTAGAAAATAAGCGCTCAACGGATGCTAAATGTGAAACAATTGCAAATACCTTCATGGCAAAACGCCGAAGAAGTGGGGAACCTCCTGTAAACTTGGACCAGAAAATTTTGGGATTAATATTTTTGGGATATTGATTTTCAAAAAGAACGTCACTATTCTTATAACTGATAAGTTTTTTAAACAAAAGTGTTGTTTCTTTTTTGTCAAAACCCCAGGCTTTTGCCAACACTAATGATGCCCTAACAATTAAATCGCCTGACATTTGACTTGACATTGCTATTTGTTTATAACTAGGTGATAAAAAAAATGAAACAAAATAAATACCATTTGAGAATTCACGTGTCTGTTTATCAAGAGCTGCCAAGGCATGATTTTTAAACCCTTCAATCGAAACATTTTCTGTGGAAATAATGTAATAAATGCCTAATAGTTCTTTAAAGATATCTGCTAGGGTGGCATCTCTTGACTCAAGACAACCGATAGCATCAATGACAGGGATAAGCACTTTTAGTAAAGTGTCATTATTTGCAAAGTGATGGCAGTTGGTAATTATGGTTTGAATTTCCATTCTTATTGCTAGATAATTACTGGTTTTACTAAGATCAATACATTTATTAAATCCATTTTCAAAGGCTTTAACACCCAAACAAACTTTCGCAAGAGAGTACCATCTAGTTTCACAAAATGTTGTGAGTAAATGACGCAGACCTTCTTTCTTTTGCCATTCTTGCAAGGTACAGAGCCAAATATAAGATGATGTAAAAAAATTAACAAGTTTTTGGTTATCTTTAATAACTTTAAGTAAGGGTGAAAAGGCAGAAATGTCTTTTGTGATTAGGTTAAAGACGTGGAGACAACAACAGATAGGAATGATATTTGGATGATCTTCTTTAAGGATATTTTTCATTCAAGTCATAATGGCGGGATTATCAGTTACGCATGCAATAATTGCAAAATTAATAGAAATAGAACTTGAGTTAAGTATTTTTTCAACCTGCTCTTTAAGAAAAGTTGCTGTATGTTGATTGGCAGATAAATCAACAATATCTAAAACATGTTCTTGATCCTCTTTTAAAGCTATAAAACCATATATAGAATTTCTTGATATATCTTGCCACCCGTCTAAAGCAATAGTAATATCAGTTTGAGATTCTATTACTTCTAATTTTTTGGTTAGATAGGTTGAAAACGAATTATTAAGAACTTTTCCACGCAACATATTAGCAGAAGGAGGATTATAATTCGGTTCCAACTCATTAAGAAATTCAAAGAAATAGGAATTTTTAATAACCCTAAAAGAAAGGTTACTATAGATAATAGCATCAAGCAATTTTTTATTTATTTTAGCTTGCTTATCTTGTAAAATCGAGTTGATATACCAATTTACTAAACTTTCTTAACGTTTTACTGCTGAAGAGAACAAACCATCAGTGTCGCTACAAAAGCTTCTATTAGTTTTAGTAAAAAAAAAAAAAAAGAAAGAAAAAAAACTATTACATATATAGGCGATTCTTGATCAGAAATTAAGTTCTTTTTAATTTTTTTACAAGAATTAGGAATAGAATTCGTCACTTCCTTAAAATAAAATTTTTTTTCTGTAACGGGGCTAGCTATTACATGTGAGAATGTGAGTATGAAGTTTTTTGGGTCTGCCAGATAGTTCAAGGTTGCAGTGAATACATTTAGCAATATATCTATTGCCCGTTCCTTTTTCTATAGAACGCCAAAACCCTGTCCAGCGGTGATCATGAAGCTTCATGTCAGAAAAAATAAAACCAGGTGGGGTGGTTTCATCTGTAAGGTCAACTATAAGTTCACCTGTTTTGGTACTGATGTATTACTGCATAATACAGGTCTGAATTCTTTCGTGTATAGGTAATTTATTCTTTTTAACTTGGACAATTTGAGTATTTTTTGTTTTTTTTTTTGAAATTTGTGTGATTAATTAATACAATTTTTATTTATAATATTGAGATCTTGAACAACGTTAAGGTAGAGAATCTTATCAAGTTATTTTAACTCGATAATAATTCATTTTTATTAATCTTTTGAGATGGTTTATATATTTTTTAGACTATTTAAAAAATTCTGTCGCTTTCCATCTATTTTAACTCATGATCTGAATCTTTGAGGCTTTAATATTATAATGGAAATTCAGCCCAAACAGTTAAATATGTTTTAAACCATTTTATTTTATTTGTATTATTTATGTGTAGTATAATTAATTTTTTTAACCCATACTACAGAATATCCTAATGGCTCAATTTTGAAGCCAGTTCTAGTCAGGATTTGAAGTCAATTAGGTTCAGGCCGATTTGTAATCTTGAACCGTAGCTTAGGTAAGATGGAATTTAATTTTTATACCATGGAATAGCTCAATTTGAAACCATAGTTATAAGTTGGTTTTGTCCAGGCCGGATCTGTAGCCTTAAAGTTAAGGCTTAATTTCTTGAGCATAATTAGCTTCAGTTCACGGCTGAAATGCGAATAGTAAATACATATTTGTCAAGATATGGTTTAAGCGTGTTTCATGAATTTATTTAATTTATTCATTTATAATTAATATGCAAAATGTAAAAAATATTAAAAATATAATAAATCGATTTGGGTAAAGGAATTCTATATGCTTGTTTCTTTATTTGTACTTAAATGCACAGATTTATGGAAACATTAATGACTTGATGCAGCTTGTATACTTAATTATCATCCCTTAAGTGATTTACTAAACAAAACTTTATCCAATAATTATATATATTATTCCTGTTAAAGTGTCATGTTAAAATGATCTAATCAGGTTATGGATATTGGAACTTTAAATTGATTATCAATTTTAATATGATATGCCCAGTAATTTCATTATACTAAAAAAAAAATAAAGTTGAGATATTGTTAGAAATAATTAAGTGTTATTGGTTAAAGGCTCTTTACAAGTAATTACAAATTTTGCAGGCAAATTTGCCACAAATTCACTAAGCCGATTAATAAAATAGAGCAAGCAAGCTAATAAATTTATTGCATATTATTTTAATTATACATCTCCCAAAATATAAAAATCCATTTAAGAATAAATTTTAATTATATACTATATAATTGTATAAAGTGTTGTCAATAGTATAGGAGAATTGACCAATCATACTTAAGTATATTTGTCACGTGGATTAATGGCATGCCAGGGTGGCATCCTGGTATGAACTTTGGTAAATTGCATGCCACATGGCATGAAAGATTTTTTAGCCGTGCCAAATACCCTAATAGTAGGCCGTGCTTACCTATTTAATTTATATATATCCTGCTATATATACTACTGTACAACATCCACCAGTTATAATCCACCCCTCATCACTTATCACATTACTCCTAATTCATATCTTGTATAACTTCCAAATTGGTGTCCTAGGAGTGGGCGCTTTTCTTGCTTCCAGTTTGGTATTCATCGAGTATATTACTTCAGAGCCTAATCCGTATCTCAAGCCAGGTGCTGCTACCGTCTGAAGATCCGTATCTCAAGCCACCTACTGCCGCCATTAGGAGAGCTGTTCACATGGGTTCAGATATTAATGTCGTACACCACTTAATTAGGCTACCACCTCTTTTTAAGTACTCCCTATCAGTATAGTGATACAGAAGTCTAGATCTTTAGAACAGGAGTTAAGAACCTCATTTAATTACTGCCACAAAGCAGTAATCCGGAACTCTCACTTCTGTTATTTTTCATCATAGACTCCCATATAGGTTGTGTGACTATACTCACTAGCCATCTTTATGTTTGTACTACCAGAATGCTTGCTTCCATGCTTTTCGGGGTTTCTTTTAACTGGTTTTCTTTGTTTCTTTATTGTGCTAGAGGTGTTCCATATTTGGTAAAGCTATTCTCTTACTACAGCCCCTTACTATATTCACCGCTTCTCTCACCACTTCTGGATATACTGCATATAGCTGTCCTCCCAATCAAGATCCCAATGCCACCTTAGGGTTGTTGGTACTACCTTGCCAATCGTGGATTCATATACACAGCCTTCTGCAGTAATATCTTCTGTGACCCATATCACACATAGTGCCTGATCTTCTTCATAGCTCGGGACTCCTTCCAAGAATTCTTTATCAGCCAAATATATACTTCACATGGTCTTACCACTACAGGGTTCCGCATTCAAAAGCTCTCGCAGGTTACAGAGATAATTAATTTAATTAATTACTACCAGCTGTAATTGAACCATCGACCTTATCTGTGGAGGGTTAGGCGTCTAGACCACTAGGCTATAGGACCCTAACCCTTTATTCTATTTATTGTTATTATTTTATTTTTTATTTTCTTATAACTATATTATTATTTATTTTTATAAAAATTAAAATTGTAAATTAGAATTAAAGTAGCTAATTTAAATTTTATTAGAAACTTAGACATTTGAAGAATTTTCGAACCCAGATACTTAATACTTTTTGAACCCAAGTACTTAATAGATTTAGAACTCAGATTTTACTAATAAAATTTGAAGTTTTTGATTTAAAATTTAAAATATTTAGATTCCTTTATTCAGAAATAGACTACTTAACAAAACAAATAAATATCTTTAAATAATCTATCAGACATTACTACTTTTACTACCAACAACTTCTTTATTTTTTACACAAAACAAACTTAACAATTTAAGTCTATGCATACATATAGGTTTTTCTTCCATCAAATATCTTCTTTCCTGTTTTTTTTTGAAAGCTTGCCTCTGCTCTACATCTTGTAAATGTGTTTCTAAATCTTTTAATCTTCTTTTTAAACTTTTTCTTTTATCTATTAATCTGCAAAACATAACTTCTACTATTTAATACAATAATTATTTATTTAATAAACACTATTAAACCTATACCTTTGTTCAATAGTAAAACCTATACTTATAAATTTGTAAGGATAATTTTCTCCGAGTTTTTCTTTGAAAGTATCCTCAGTAATTTCTATAGTTTCTCTTATAA